CATATATTGCTTGAAAAAATATGGCATAATGAAGTAATGTATTGTCTGAGTATGAGAGATTTATGTAACTGCTTTTGCAAAATAGAGCTTGTTCAGTGGATGTTCAATGGATATGGAGCTTGTTCAATCAGCTCCTCCAAGGTGTACTGGGATTGTGTTTGAACTTATAGGGTTGGCTAGAGATTTATTCCACTTGCTGAACATCAACTTCCTGAAGCTTCCTGAGCTAGCAGGAGCACTTCTCTTTCCTTATTCACTCTCAGAATATTTCTTCATGAGGTCCATGGTCTCATCTCAGTGGCAATTTCACTATTGAAGGATATGGTGTATGTACTGCAGATTAAAGTCAAAGAAGGAGGCAGACCTTTGTGGACAGAAGCAAAGTCCAAAGTACAGTAGGAAGAGTTCATTTATCTTTGTCAAAGTATTTGGAAAGTAACTGCTTTTGAAAAATACCGTGTGTGTGTGTGTGTGTGTGTGTGTTTGTGTGTTCATTTTTCTCTTTTGCTCTTTGTTCTCCTTTTGGATGAAAGAGGCAGCATGATTCATTCTTCTGCAGAGAATTGCTCATTCTCTTATTGATCCCTCTGCTGAGACAGGTTCATCTTTGTGTTTCCCAGCTCTACTCTGTCCCTTCACACACAGACTTTGTCATGCCTAACCAAACTGGGAGTGTAAGTACTCCCATGATAGTATTAATGACAAAGGCTAGGGTGTAGTCACTGTCGTGGTAACCTCTGGGCTGAGCACACCTTGCTGAGAACAAAGTTAGATGACCTAGTGGTAAAAATATGTCAGTCATATCTCTACCATGTCTTCAGGGATGGAAACAAAGTTGCTTTGTAATGAGTCATGTAGGTATGCTTATTTGCTAAGACATTTACTTTATGAATTATCATGTTTGTTTAACAGAAGTAGGTTTGTTCAGCCTAGAGAAAGGAGACTGAGGGGAGACCTCATGTCTTCAACATCCTCATGAGGGGAAAAGGAGAGGCAAGTACTGATCTCTTCACTCTCGTGACCAGTAACAGGACTCAAGAAAACAGCTTGAAGCTGAGTCAGGGAGATTTACGTTGGATATCAGGAAAAACTTTTTCACCCAGGGGGTGGTTGAGCACTGGAACAGGCTCCCCAGGGAAGTGGTCACAGCACCAAGCCTGTCAGAGTTCAAGAAGCATTTGGACAATGCTCCCAGGTACTTGGTCTAATTGTTGGGGTGTCCTGTGCAAGGCCGGAAGTTGGACTTGATGATCCTGCTGGGTTGCTTCCAACTCAGTGTATGATTCTGTGATAAGCTGTCAGGTAAAACTAGCAGGTTTTAATCCTTTCTTCACCACTTATGTGAGCTCTGTTCACATCTTAGTTCAAATTTTTCAAATACAATAGTATTATGTCACGTATATATTGTGAATTCTTTAAACAGGCATAGTCTTGTCTAAATCTTGCATAGTCTTGTCTAAATTTTGTAAAAATCTTGAAGACTTCTTCTAATTATATCAGTCTTAATGTACCACCTTCTGGCCAGCTAACGGAAGCACATGAACTGATCTTCAGGAAGAGCACAAGCTTTCTAGATTTGTGACTCTCAAATGGGTTTAAATCAAAAAACCTTCTTTTCTATAAGAATTCTGGGGCCCATTCACTGCCATTGTTTTGCACATAAGAGAATATGACTGTTTTTAATATGTTAAGAGGACAAAAAATGTTTGCTTCAATTTCTTTTTAGAGTAGCCTTCTTTACTGAAAGAAGACAAACAAAGCAAGCTGTGTTTAAGTGATAAGCAGTGCTTTTTCTTAAAGTACCTAATGTTTTCTAGCCAGATCCATTCTGATTGCTCAGTCCACTGCATAGTACAGACTGCACAACATGCAAGAAACTTTTACAAAACTGTAATTACAGCCAAGAGCAGACAGTGTAGCTGAGATCTGTACAAAGAAAAGGTGAATTAACTATGCGTAGACAATGAATTGCTGAAATATTGTTTCAGTTATTCCATACCAGATCTGAAATGGTTTATTTTCAAGAACGAGAGTTTTAACTACTCAATAAGCATACACAATAAAAACATTGAGTATTTTTAAATTAAATCACACAGAAAAGTTCTAAGTTGCAAACTAATCTTGTTATCTTGAACATTTTCTTTACTCAAGGAATAATGAAAGGGCTCTGATTGAATTTCATTCCTTGTATAATTAGTTTCTCCAGATGAATAAAGATAAACAAAGGAGAGGAAAATGCATGAGACAAACAAAGGCACTTGAATAGCTTCATACATAGCTGGTTGCAATGAGACTTACAGCTGCAACTACTGCTGTTCTTATGTGTATCTGATACCAGTTTCTTAGTGGTTAGGTCAGGCTTGGTTACTGGGAAGATGTTCCTTTCCCTCTCCAAGCATCAAGAGGTGGCACAAGTGGAGAAGACACAAGACAAATAATTCGGGGCAATGAAGCACAAATGCCTGAAATACACTAGTCCTACCTTCCATAAACACATACTTTTGTGTAGATAGAGAATAATAAGAAAATATCAAAACAGCAATGAAAGAAGTCCACAGAAACTTTGGTGATCCTTTAAGATAGTACATGGAGGACAGCGCTGTTCAACAATCTTCTTGCAGTACGAGGGTGGCTCAACCTGGCTGAGTAATAATTTTCTTGTATTTCATCTTCAGTTTAGTATTTTCACGATGGTTTACATTTAAAATGAAATATAGCAGTTCTTACAGAAACTAATGGGGATAAATTAATTGAACCCAGATGAAATTTTTATGTTTTAAGCTCTGTAACGTAACTTCTTTGCAACTTCAGATGATTTAACTTCTTTTGACAACTAAAGTTATTTTGGGACTTGGGATGAATTTGCAATAGTTAACCAAGGAACAGGCATCATATTTAAGCAGTCACTAACCCCCTGCTGGGAGCAGCCTAGGTAGTACTATTGTAGTACAGATTTGGGATACAACTACACTAGGTTTAATCAGGCCAGTGATTTACATGGCCTAAATTTAGACGACCAAGTTCAAAGAGATGTAGTGATAGGATATGGCAGAGTATGATGAATTAAAAAGTTATCTAAGGATGAATCCTTTCAATGTGATCTGAGAAGCCTGTCAAGTGGAAGGAGAAAGAATAAGAGAGGGAACCACAGAGATCACATCAGTGACCCCTCAGGGTGTGGTTGTGGATAATAGTCTGTTGGCTTGGGGTTTTTTGCCTCACAAATCTATTTATAACCTTGTGACAAGACTTAAAGAATTCCCCACTGTACCCGGTGGTATGAACAGTAGCAGGGGCTGCAGACAGGCACTGTGCAAAGCTGGGGATGAGATGGCAGGGTAGAGAAGAAAATCTGAGAAACTGAGATAGAGCACTTCTTTTCAAATACACTTTGCAATGCCTGGGTAGTCTGTAAAAGCTATCTATTCTTGTTACTGCTTTGTGTTATTGCGGCTTGAAAAACAAATTGGTATCATTCTGCGTCGTATATAATTCTCAAATGTAATAACCCTTTGAACTTGCATGGTGTGCTTTGTCCTTAGATCAAAAGGTTGAGTAAAGTTATATATAGCTGAAATCAGAGGCCCAGAATGCCAAGTTACCCAAGACACTATAATGAGCTTATGGCAGAACTTTGGCTGGCATGAATATTCCCTGTTTCATATTCTAAATGGTAATTTAAATGGCAAGTAATTATTATTATGGTTGAGGCAGAATGGAAATCAAACTCATCCTTTTGGGTACTGGTGGCAATTAAAATAATGACTTAAATAGTTTGGTTTTGTTGTTGTTTTTGATATTGTAAAATATGCTCAAATCACAGGTTTACAGCCATACCAAAGTGCTGTATTTTACACTTACTTTTTTGCTTGTACTGAAGAACAGTGACTTATGTAAAACGTGGAATCTCTATGCCTAGGAGAAGGAAAAAGGACACTGCTGTATCATGTAGTGCAAACCTGTGGTGCAGCTACAGAGTATAATTTCATGCTGGCTGCTCATTTTTAGCAGTACTCTGATTCATTAGCCAGTGGGAAGAAAATGGGAAGAAAATCATTTAATTTCTGAACTCTGAAAATTTGTCCTTATATTGGAAAACACTTTATTACCACTGCAGCAATTTTCTGCAGAAGAGCTGGGACTGAAATAGCACAGCATGGTGTGGGCTTTTACAAAGTGTCTTGGCAGAGTCTGAGACTATGAACACAGCAGTCAAAGGTGCCATGTTCTGACAGAGGACGAGGAGAGCTTCCACAAGTCAAAATTAAGTTTTTCCTTATCCTAACGTACATCCGTAGATCACACTTCTCCGAGAGATGTTTCAGAGACATCCAAGGACTGTCAGACTCTTTTTCACTGGGTAGGCCAAAGAGTTTCCTTACAGAACAAAATCTGGGCAAAAATCCCAGCTAGGCAACTTTTATGGTGCCTTCACCATATCCCTGTGTGCTTTTGTGGTAACATCAAATGCACAGACAGGTATGTGGGGGCAGATTGGAGAAGTGCTTTTCCTCAATGTTCATTCCTCTTCCTACTGGATTCTTCTATAGAGCAAAGGGTATAGGGTCAGAAAAGGGAAAAAATTATGACAAAAGTGAGGGAACACTACAGACAAATAGCAGAATATAACTGTAGAGAAGAAATTCATCCTGAAAATTTAGAGAGGGAAGTTTTAAAAAACCACCACAACATATGGACTAATTTTCTCCTTTAGGTTGTTACATTGGGATGAGATCGATACAATCATTGCTGTCATTCCTTTTGCATTTCTTCCTGGATTCCTTTTATGTGTTCAACTATATTTCTTCATTACTTCTTGTCAGACTCTTCAGCATTTTAGCCAAGTCTTTTGACTATCTTATTCGTGCCCAGCAGATGAATAGGCCTTCCATGAGCATGCAGACAGACTTGTGCAGACTGTGGTTTTCTTTTTGCAGAGAGAAGTAGGTAACTTCAGAATAATTAGCTGAAATTTCCTCCCCTCCCCTCTTTTTTTAAAGACAATTCCTCGTCTCTCCAGGAAGATGAAGAGATAGATATGGAGGCTGTCAACTGGCAGCTGAACAACACCTCTGTGAATGGGCATTCGTCTACCCCAACCACAGTCCGCTTTCCCAGCTGGGTGACTTTTGATGACAATGAAGTCAGTTTTTCACCTCAGAACCTTTCTCCCTTGAAAACAAATACCCCGTCTGCAGAAACACAGGGTCCAGATGTTAACTTTAACCTCACTACATCCTTGAAGAAAAGGGAACGTCCTAAAAGCACATTGGGGGACCTCTCTAAAATTCAAAAACTAGATCTCTCCTCCCTAACCAAGTTGCCTTCTGTTGAAACACCACCATGGAGTGCTACTAATCCCTTTCTGGATGAATCTCTGCGAGATGTCCAACCCTCACCCATCAATCCATTCAGCTCCTTCTTTGAGGAGCGAGAGAGGCGTTCCAAAAGCTCTTCTGTCTCCAGTGCTCCAGGCAAAAGCCAAAGAGACTCTCTCATTATTCTCCATCAAGAGCCTGATACCATCAGTTTCCATGAGGCAAACAAAAGTCTAACCCACACAGATGCTGTAGAGCAGCTCAAACAACTCCAGATTGGAGACCCAGATCATGTGAGCAGTTCTACTTTGCCTGATGATGACCCCATGATGCCATATGATCTGGATGCAGCTATATTTAACCTGGCACCAGCTCAGCCAAAGGACGGATGGCCAATGATGCTCAGGATCCCAGAGAAGAAGAATATTATGTCATCCAGGCACTGGGGACCAATATATGTCAAGCTGACCAACAGTGGATGTATACAGCTTTTTTATGAGAAGGGGCTAGAGAAACCTTTCCGAGAACTCAAACTGGAAATCAATCATGAGATTTCAGAGCGCAAACTCCAGAACTACGACGAGAATGGAAGGATACACAGTGTGCGGTTGGATCGCACAACATACAAGGAGAAAAAGAAGTATCAGCCTAAACCAGCCATTGCACACACAGCAGAGAGAGAGCAAATTATCAAGCTTGGGACTACAGATTATGAAGACTTCCTTAGCTTCATCACTGCTGTGCAAGACACGCTGATGAACTTGCCAGCTTCATCAACAGATCTGAGCACAGTGGGACTGAACTATCAAGAAGAAGAAATCACTGTTGATGTCAGGGATGAGTTTCATGGCATATTGGCCAAGGGAGACAGTGCGATTCTCCAGCACTGTGTGCTGACCCATATCTATGTTCTCAGCTTCCTTTCTGGCCTGGCAGAGTGCAGGCTGGGCCTTAATGATATCCTGATCAAAGGGAATGAAATAGTTGCAAGGCAGGATATTATGCCCACTACTACCACTAAGTGGATTAAATTGTACAGCTGTCAGTTCCATTCATGTGTGGATGAGGATATGTTTAATAACTCCCGTATTATCCTGTTCAACCCTTTGGATGCCTGCCGGTTTGAACTGATGCGATTCAGAACTGTCTTTGCTGAGAAAACTTTGCCTTTTACTCTGAGGACAGCTGCCAGCATCAATGGTGCTGAGGTGGAGGTGCAGAGCTGGCTGATGATGTCCACTGGATTCTCTTCCAATCATGACCCTTTAACTCAGGTCCCTTGTGAAAACGTGATGATCCGCTACCCAGTGCCAAATGAGTGGGTGAAGAACTTCCGCAGGGAGAGTGTCCTGGGGGAGAAATCTTTGAAAGCCAAGGTGAACAAGGGAGCCACTTTCGGATCAACTGGTCTGTCTGGTTCTGAGCCAGTAATGAGAGTAACTTTGGGAACTGCCAAATATGAGCACGCCTTTCATTCCATTGTATGGAGGATAAACCGACTGCCTGACAAAAACTCAGGTGAGTGGTGCATACCATTTCTGCAGGAGTAAACTAAAAGGAGTTATGTATTTTGGAAGATAGGGAATAGTGAGTTTACATGGTGAGAGAGAAAGCATCCTCTGTAATATACTAAAGGACATAAATTAGTTGCTTGAAGCATTTATGTGACCTTTCATCACAATAGTTTTATATATCCTACAAATATAAGTAATGATAAAAACAGGTTTGGGTTTTCCAGATGCAAAAATACGTGTTCTGTCTCTGCTTGGAGGTATTTAAAAGAGGTGTAGATGTGGCAGTTAGGGACATGGTTTAGTGGTAGACTAAGTTCATGCTAGGTTAATGGTTGGACTCGATGATCTTAAAGGTATTTTCCAACCTAAATGGTTCTATGACTCTATGATTATGAGACTTACGCATCAAACGTCACTGTATGCTCAGTACTGCTATTGGAAGCAGGATTTTTTGGGTAACTTGCAAAGGCAAGATCCTATGCTATGGAGCTGAATGACAAGGCCAGATAAACTGCTGTAATTCCATCCAGCACATGTGATTTCTTCCATGCATTGCCAAGCATACTGGGACAATGCTATATATTTCAATGCATATGCCACAATTACTGCCTATAAAGTATTGGGAATAGGGATTGTAAGAGAACAGAAGATATTGCTCAACCATTTAAAAAAAATAGAAATTTCCAAACACCAGTTTGTGGCTATGCTTCTGTAATCAGTGCAGACATGCAATTACAACTTGAACCTGGGGAGAGAATACCAATATGAAATCCACAAATCTTTGTATTTCTAGTAACATATTCATAATTAAACATTCAAATAATGTAGGCAAGCTACTTTTCCCTTGGGCCATTGCTGCCAGTCATTCTACTTCCTACCTTTCATCCATGGTGCACAATAAAGGTGGACAACTCAGGTTTATTTTTATTTGTAGTGAATTCTACTTCTTGGCTTCTCTGATCTCAAATAGCTTTTTACAAATGAGATGCACTTTTTAGTATGCTGTAGTAATGCACCTGGGTGACTAGGAGGGTTTCTGTATTCAGTGTTCCCTGGAGGAAAATTCAGTGTCGTACCAGATTTGGCTCTCTCTAAGGACATATGTTTTTCCTGAGTTTGAGTTATAGTGTCAGCAAAGCAGTAATCCAAGTCTCCTAATCTTTTGGATGACATCTCAGCCCAAGGACACTAGTTTACACCATAGGTTACAAATTTGGAGGGATATCACTGACAAAAGGGAAGGCTCCATATTTCCTGTAGTGTGGCACATAAGAAGACAGAGCTTGGAAACTCAAGAAAAATATAGCAATGAAAAATTAACCTCAGACTGTTTATGAGCAATAACATGCTTGTTAAAAATCTCACTGTGCCATCTGCAGGAGCTCTGGGAATGAGATGCTGTGAAATTGGGCCTTCTGTGGCATCTTCTCTCCAAAGATCTCAGTATACCATATAGATATTACAGCTGGGGAAACTAAAGCCCCCAGACTTTAACACAATCACAGAACATGCCAGTAGCAGTAACATGCCAGGAGAAGAGGCAAAACTCCTGTCTCTACTGCCTTCTGCAAGGTAATGCTCCTTACCCATTGTTACTCTGAGGGAGTGCCTCTTGTTGCCCTGATCCCATCTCTCCCAGTGTGAGGCTTTATTGTATATACACTGTGACAGGGGGAAATGCATTACAGATATGTTGCTGCTGTTGGACCTCTGCCACAGAGAATCTATCCATTGTGTCACCGTGCAGAACGCAGGACAGTATTTTAGTATTTGTTTACATCCTCAGAGGAAGAAAGTGTCCTCACCCCTCCGGTCAGATCAGATGTAATTTCAGGGAAAGGAAGGGCCCTGGATGCACTGTCTTGGCCAAGACACATGAGGTATGTGAGAGGGAGGGAATCCCAAAGTGATGACAGGGCAGGCTAAGTATAGTTTCAATTTGACCTTGCCCTTCACGAACTATTTCTATTTATTGATGACACTTCATCCCACGGGTTTCCTTTCTCAAAGTATGTGGCAAACAAAGGGGTATATATAAGTGATACTCAAAAGCATTGATTCCCACTCCTTCTTAGATTTGCCTGATGGACCACACACACTTCTGACCATGTGATACTGGTGTGCGGTTTAACTCCCAGCCTTGGGCAACTTTGGCTGTATCCAGCCGTACCCATAAGTCATATAATAACCCACCTCCACCTATTTTCAAAGTCCTTATAAATGATGCAGTTCTCAAGCACTAAATATAAAACTACTCCCTTGACTCACACTTGATGCTTTCTTACTGTGACACCTGCCACTCATCTCTAAGAACACTCTGGTTCTTCTGTAAATGTCTGGTCTGCTAATGAACTGCTCTGGTGCCTGGGACACCAGAGCCAGAGGGAGGTAGTGGTGTCACACTGCAGCTGGGGGAAATGCTGCAGGTGGCCACAGTCTGTAGCTCCACCCTGCCAGCAGAGGCCACACAACCTGTCCACACCACTTGGGGCACATGCACTGCATGATTGTCTCCAGCACACGTGCCTGTCTGCCAGTCATGCTCAAAGGAGCACGTATGTAGGCACACATTAAGAGACCTTTTGTTCATCCACGGTTTGTGCTCTGACACATTGCTTGCAAACACAGTCCCAGGAACTCCAGAGGTCTCCAGGTAGCCAACTGGAACTCTTCCTTCCCTCCATTCCCCAAATGAGGACTGATGCAGGCTCTGTGCAGACGTGAGGCCCGTGACACCATCAGCCCTGCCATCCCCGCTGAGGAGGAAAGCTGGTCCCTCCTGAAGTTCACTGCTTGTATTCAGGTTGTGGAATCCTAAGCACCCAAATTGTTAAGAATTATTTCAGCAGCTTTGCTGTCTTATCCAAATGTTTTCTTTTTGTGCTTTCCAATGGGATGGGGCCCTTTGCACTCTCACTCTAGGTGACAGTGTTATCAGCACTGTCTGTATTATTTTGTAGCCAAAGCATCTTCTTATGACTGAACATTGAAAAGCATATGACCAATGAAGGACAGTGCATACTCTGACTGTGATTTGACCTAAGGAAAAACTATGGACTGGATTCTACTGAGCACATTGCTGAAGTCCTGTCCAAAATGGCTTGTTAAACATCATTGCCCTTTTCATATTCAAAATTAATATGATCGAAAGAGTTGATAAAGAAAGCCTATTTACAGACTTCGCAGAGCTCCAGTTGCTGCTGGCTGGGTTTCACATGTTGAGTTTTTTTAATCCACCAGTAGAATACTAGGGAAACATCTAAACAGTCTTCAATCGTGGGAAAACGCTCTTTCAGCAAAGCAGAGATGTATCCTCTATGCAGAGCCTTGGAATCTGGATTTGAACTTTTCTCTAGTTTGGCTGTGTATCCCAGGCATGCTGCCTGGTATACTTTCTGAAGTAAATTAAATCCTTTAATCCAAACATGTTGGGACATCTGAGTTATTCAGAAAAGATTCCGCCCAATCACAGTAAAACATGCATATATATGAATTATATTATCAGATCCTTGATTGTCAGAACAAAATGTTAGAAGCTCAAGGAAACAAGATGTGCATACAAAAGCTGTGTGTTGATTTCCTCCTGATTTTACTGAAAAGTGTACCTGTCCATTAGAGAAATAACTCTGAATGAGCCTGTTGAACAAAGTCTGGAGAGGTTGTGCCTTGTGGACCTCACAGCCAGGACACTAAAGAACACTAAGTGCTAAGTAATTTTGCAATAGCTTCAGTGGAGGAGTTGCTTTCCTAATCCATTCACCTTGTTGTCTACCATGCTGAGCTGGTTTAAATCAATAATTTCCATATTTTTTGACTGCTGTGCATGGTCTTTTCTGTTAATGGGCTCTCCTTCTAGAAGAAATTAAATTATTGAAAAATTACCTTGTTAATTGCATTGGGGGGGGGGGGTTACCTTTTTGCCCTCTTTGTTTTCCCCTCCTTATTCTCCCCCTTTTTTTGATCCTATGGATATCCACATTAGGTATGTTAAAATAGGTCACTGATTCCATGTGTCCAGTTGAAATTATGAAGACTTTAAAAGCTCAGATCTCCAAAGCACCTGTCATGCAGTGTGCTTAAGCCCAGTTTAACACTTCCCAGTGTTACCTTCACACATACCCACCCCAAAAGCATCTGAACACATACCAGATCAGGAGTGTAGTGGCACAAGCCTAACATTTTGTAGCTGTGGATGGGGCTTGTGCTGGAGCACAGAGCAGCTTCTCCTGGACTGCTGGGTCTCCAGTCTGAAGGAGGGAGCAACCCATGGCAAACTAAGGGAGAGGGAAAGCATGACAAAGCAGATGAGCAGAAAGGATTACAATGAGGGTTCTGCTCAGAGTGGCACAGGGTGAGGAAAGAGATATGAATGGATGGAGATCCTGAGACTGGGAATTGGTTGCCAGTACTGAGTGCTGAATACAGATTTTTTGAATCAGGAATGACCCATTTTTAGGCATCTTCATAATGCAGTACCAGAGAGCACCTTCTAGTGGTGAGGAAACTCTGTCTAGACTGTTTTGAAATATGAGGCCGACTAGATGAAATTCTTGCCCCGACTTACATTGAGCGAAGTTTTTCTTCTGGCTTTATTTCAGAGGTCAAGTGGGATGTTGCAATGCCTAAGTCCTCTAAAGACTGTTCAATTTCATCCTGTTGGGACAAGTGACACCTCAAAATCCCACATCTTGCTTTTGAAGCTACAGCTTAACAAGGCTGACTTTTGGGCTAAGCAGGTGTATTCCTGCTCTTCCCAGGGCAAGTTTCTGGGCTTTCCACACACAGTTCTCTTTACTCTGCCTACCTTCCTCCTTTCTTGTCTCTGTCCTGTACATCTTGCTGATCTGTATGGAGAAGAACTTTTCCAGTGAACAAGTAACCTGAAATCCTGCAGCCTATAATAGTGGCAGACAAGGATTCTGTTCATTTATTTATACATTCATTTACACATTCATTTACACATACATAGGTAATAGACTCTCTTCAATCAGAAAGTCCTTTGTGGCTTTGAAGGCTTTCATCTTCATTTTGCAAACAGAGACACTGAGGCACACACATTAAATTACTTGCTCAAGAGCTTAGGGATGGCAGCAGTCAGAAACAAAACCAACCTAGCTTGACTAGAATTCCCTACTTTAGTTTTTAAACATAACTGCTGTCCAGCAAACCAAAGAAGAAAGATAATAACAAAGGTTATCTTTGACAGATGACAGAGCTAAACACGTCACCTTGCCACCTTTAATAATTAGCCACCATGTCACAGGCGAGAGTGAGGAACAAACAGTTATTCTGTAGCTTTGCACAAATTTGCTTTTTGAACCCAGGAAAGTTATTTAAGCCTATCCAGTACATTTTCTTTTACTAGAAATTGGGATAAAAATTTCAAATTCATGTGCAATATCTCCAAATCCCTCCTTCCCTTGCTATAATTTCATAACATCTCAGAAGGGGTGCCCCAATGTTACAGACAATGAAGGAACCAGAAGAGGACAAATACCTTTGCCCTACTGTGCTCAATTTACTTCTTGTATTTTCACCCACTGAAAGCAAACTAGAGTAATTGGCAGTCCTTTTTGCATTTTGTTTAATTACTTTGGTAAATTCAACAGCATTGAAACAGGTAAGATATTGTCACTTGCTATGAACTAGTTCACCTGGGGAGATTCTCGGTTCCCTGCAGCTTAATGATGCTGCTTTCTCCTAGGTGTTGTTTTCTCATTCATCCAACGTTACTTGCATTACTGTTTGCTCTCTTTTTCCAGCTTCTGGCCATCCTCACTGCTTCTTCTGTCACTTAGAGCTTGGCTCTGACCGGGAAGTGCCTTCCAGTTTTGTCCGCTATGTAGATGTGGAATTTGACATGCCCACTACTTCTGCATCCAAAGCTGCTGTTCGGTCCATCTCTGTTGAGGACAAGACCGATGTGAGGAAGTGGGTCAACTATTCAGCACACTACAGTTACAAGGTAAAACTGAGCATGTGGCAATCACCATGGTTACACTGCATACTTTCATTGTCTTGAAAAGTGTGAGCAGACAAATAAAATACCATGGCAAAATGAGGTGGGAATTTGGCACATGCCAGGCTGTCTGCAGTAGCTACCCATGTGCCACCCATGTGCTACTGATTCATGGCAAACAGGCAGGATTATCCTTCAGCAAAGATGAAATAAATTTGCTTGCAGTTGCCTGTGAAAAAGCATGCACAGAGCCAGCTGCTGGGATTAGCTGATATGGTACAAGTGTGAACAGGGAGTTTTGCTGCTCTTCATAGCACCTCCAGTGAGAGTGCTACGGTGGGAGTCCTACAGCAGACAAAAGGATCCCATTATTTCTCTGCTTAAATATTTCTTCCTCCTGCCTGCCCTAAGGAGAGGAGCAGATGGGAAAGTACACTATGTATATACCTGCCAAGAATCTCAGTAAATTTTCGTGTTAGCTGAATACTCGGAAGAGAAATTGGAATCCTACCTGCCTTCTTTAAGAGCAATGATGAGAGAGTCTGAAAAGATCCTCATGGCAAATATTTTTACTGGTAATTGTAATTACATTTTTAATAGTCTCTTAAATTCCCTGGAGATGGTATTTGATCTTCCTAAGTATCCCTTTTAAGAATTAAACAGTGGATTATTCCTGAGTTTTCAGAGATGTAGAAATTTAAGACCCAAATATAGATACCCTTGGCCCTGTATCAATACAAATTGGTATCTCTAAGCCAAAGCAGCTCTGAACCTGAGGACAGCAGGGAGGGTGCTGATGTTTGGGTTGGTGTTAGGCAGTGCCTCAAGGAGCATTTGATGATCCTTATGGGTCCCTTCCAACTCAAGATCTTCTAGAAAATTAATCGCTTCGCTTTATACATCAGTCTTTGCAGAGTTTAAAATTTAGGCTGGTTTTCTGCTGTCACTTAGGAGGCCACTTATCATCTGCAGATTTGGTTCTGGGTTTGGATTCAGAGTATATCTGGGAACGATAATGAATAAAAAATCATGTGATACCAGTTCTCTGCATGCATTATCTCTTCTGGAAATGATTTCATGACACTGTTGAATTGTAGAACTGCTTGGATTAGACTTAAAATATTTATAGTAAATAAAATCCAACTTTCCTTGATTTTCAGGTTTTTTTCTTCACAACCCTCTCAGTTCACCTGAGTAGGACACAAACCGCCACTGAGGAAGATTTTTGACTCTTTTGTTTTCCTTTCTCATTACAAATGTTCTCCCTCTTTTTCTTCTGTCAGGTTGAAATAGAGCAGAAAAAAAGCTTGAATGAGGATCTGAAGGGAGAAAATACAGCAAATGTCAATGAATGTGCTACGCAGTGAAGGAAGATCGGTCTGCAAGTCCCAAGAGGAATGGTCAAACTAACAGACCTGAAAGAAAGGACTTGCAGGATTTGGGTATTTTTCTGTTAAATTATAGAGTACTACTTTTAAAATAATACTCTGAAGAGTATTAATTTTTGCTGTGTGATGATCCATACTTTGAGAAGAAGCTCATCAGCGGTTTGTTTGGAGCAGACCCTTGGGCTTTTTCTGGAAGGATACAAGTACAGTTGTAGAGTCAAGCCTGCCTTTTCTGCCTCTTCACCATCTACGTTCTGCACTGAAGTATGGTCTGGCAACCATCACAGCCACACCAGAAAGCAGCCTTTATCTCACTTACAATCTTGCCCTCCTACATTAAGCATTTTATTTATATGCCTTTTGGTTTGGTCATTGACTGAATCACTTCCTTCTGAACTGCCAAAATAAAATCCAGGTAACATCAAGTGAAAGATTATATAAAATCTCCTTTTCAGAGTGGTCAACAGAGTGAAAACCCTGAGCATCATTCTGGAGAATCAACACACTCTGCAACATAAACATAGAGAATGATCTCTGTGTTTAAGCTGACGAACTACAGACAGGACAGACAATTACGTAGCTGTTCTTCTGTTCACCCCTTCCTGTCTCATCCCCCAAAATGACGTCATTGTGCACATTTTCGTGGGGTCTGCACAAGTTACAAGAAAGCCTCTGCAATTTCTTGAAATTTTTATTTTTTTATTCTGAGCTGTTCTGGTATCTTGACTGAACGTGGTTATGGCTGCTAGCAACAGGGAATGTGTGTTATAATAGAGGAGATACAGGAGAGACTTTGCTAAGATTAGCTCATTCCTGCCTAGAAAGATATTTAAGGGAAAAACATGGGGGGTTAGTTTTGGGTTTGGGGGGGGTTTATATATTTTCTTGGATGGGTAAGGTGGGTGGTTATTGAAAATGTCATAACACAATTACTTTAAGAGACAATGTTGTTTGCTCTTCTGAAAATCCTTGGAAGTCCATGCAGCGCAATATTATTTTCATGTTCTTTCTTGAACCTACAATATAAGTAACTTGTATCTTCATAATACTCCCATTAACTGGGCCCCAAAATCTTTTCCAAAAAATAACAACATGCTTCTATTACGGAGATTTTTTTAATCTCCACTTTGGCTGGAAGTAACAGCAAGTCTTAAAACTTCTTTCTAAATAAAAATGCAGAAGACATAAATCACTCACATATATTTTCAGAGAAAACAGTGTTAAAAGTACCCATTTTTAGTTGTTTCTATGGCTTGTGTAATATTTTGTCTTGTAATTTTAAATGTAAAAAAAATAATTTATTAAATCATTTGTCTTTTGAAAGGTTACTACTGACTTTAAAATACATATTTGGAAAGCCTTGGTAATGTAATTTAAAATCATAGTGAATTAAAACGAAAGCTTTTTTATAAATTTATTTTATATTACAATGAGTATAACAAAAATTAATACACTCTTGATTTAATACTTTCACAATGACTACTATGAAAATTACTACAATGTTAAAATCCCAAATAAAACATGAGATTAATTACATTGAGTCTGAAACTGGTAGTTGTAGAATTTAAAACAAATTATAGGGAACTTATAAATGCCTTTTTATATGAACCTAAATTTCAAGCCTATATCATCCTAGTGATACATACTTAACACAGGTACACCACTGTAAATATGTAAAATCTCAGTCCTTCTAGGTTTTCTTAATAAACATGTGATACTCTGTTGCAGGTAGCCCTCATCAAGCTGCTCAGAGCACACCAGTTAGTACTAAGCATTTGCAACATCCTTCTGTAAATGGAAGAATGCTATTAAATTTTATGAGGAATTTTGAGATCAGTGGATTAAAATTACTGATATTATTAAATGATTCAGCCCCAAGGGCTGAATTTGTGACTGATTGTCAGCTCTGTTACAGGCTGGCTGTGATAAGTTGCATGGCAACTCCTCTAAAAAATTCATTCTTCTGTTCAAAGGCAGTCAAAGAACTTCTGGGTACTTTTCCTGTTTTTTCACTACAGCTCCTAGTGTACAGTTTCTGAAATCCCACCAGCAAGAAATCCAAGAAAACCAAGCTGAAGGAGTGCTGAGATGTTACTGAGGAAGTGTGAGAATGTCTTGTGAAAGAAATGGTTGGGAGATTTCCTACTCTGACCTGTAGGCTCAGTGTCTTAATTTTTGCCTATTGCCCCCCAGCCCATGGACACACAGATAGGTAATACAAATAAATTTATGTTGTACTCTTTAAGGAGGGAAGAAAATAAAAGGAATATCATTTTCCATCTCTGTTGAATTCTTAAGCCATTCAGCCTCTGTCATATTTAAGCCACAGAATACTTCATGCCCCAGAAACTGAAAGATAAACATACTGGAGGTTTCTGGATTTACTTCATTTTTCTACCAGTTTATCATTGATTCTTTTTTTAAAATTCAGAATCAATGAATGAAAGAAAGAGTATGGACCTGAATTTAATCTTTCTTTTGTAGTTAGTTGTACACTGAAGTATCTCTTCCAATCCTCATGGAGCTAAGCAGGCAAAACTGGAAAAGTGTTCTGGTTTATATGAAAGTCATTTTAATCCATTCTGATCTCCAAAGAGCGTTTTTTGGATGTTTCTCCCATTGAGTTTTCAAGAGTTTAGCATGAATACCACAGACAGAGTTTCAAAAGACCTTATTTCCTGTTAAAAGACAGGAGTTAGTTGTTTGATTTTTAAAAAAAACGCTCACAACCAAAACCTTTAGAAAATCTAGCATTGGTGTCACCAGTTCAGCACCATTATGAGCACTGAGCATTTGAACACTGGGATCCTAAGTGCCCTTAATGAGGCTTCCACTGTTCTTTATTGATTAAACTGTGCCAATTTTTCAGTGGTGGACACTGTCATGCATGAACTTTATGTCCATGAACCATATACTCTTCATCCATAGGAGTATAGTATTAATCTGAACAGACTGTTGATGGGAGTGAGGGACAAGATCTGAGCTATGTGAGTTTTGAGAGTAGCTGAAATTATTTAGAGATAAGCTAAGTGGGGATGATTTTTCTTTTTTTTTTTTTTTTAAATCTTGCAGAAAAATCTCTGACTAGTTTCAGATTAATACTTCTTTTGAGAAAAATGCAATCACTGTCCTTTGGTTTATTTGAAAGCTTTGTAGTACTCAGACACTCCATGCAGGAAATGTGCCTTCAAGGTAAGCATACATTTACTCCCTGAAGGTATTCTTACTTTCAGCCCTCTTTCTATTTCTCATTATTGTTTTGTTTAATTTTTGTACTGTGGTAAGACTTGAGCTATTGTATGGAATTTTGCCTAGAAAAATAAAGTGTCTTTGACCACAAGAGGTAAAGATGAACAACATCTCAGGGCAGCTGAGTGTATTTTAGTTAATGCCTCTTGCATTTATTAACTATGGACACTCTGCTAGGAAAGGAAAATGTGTAAATTCAGATGATAAATACTATAACTGACTTCTGTTATTTTTGTTCTAGTTTTTATTTAGACTCGAATTTAGTTATCCTATGAAGGAGACAGATATAACTGTATCATCAGAAACATTGCATAAATAATTTTCCTTTTCTGGTGGGTTACTGGCTGACATTTTTAATCAATAAGACCTGTTGGTCTCTCTGTCCACATTATTTAGTAGCTGCTAAAAGTCCCTCTTGAACATTGACCTTCCAGGATAGAGAGCAATTGCATGTAAAAGAGCAAAGGAAAAGGTGTACAAAGTTCAGCCTGGAGGTACTTACTCTGTTGCCTGCATAAAATTTTCGGTAATTCCTTGGCCCTTGAGTGCAGTAATCAAGCCCCTGATAAGTCACCTTTGTTCCAGATAGTGAAAAATTCCTTTCAGTGACTCTTAGCAGTTGGTGTTTATAGCTATATTCATCTCCAGAACTGGCCAGGGCAAGAATTTGCAGCACACAAGAGATCACTTATGGATCAAGTACTTACCATCTTCTGCCACTAAAGTTAAATCTACATCATGACATGTCTGAGACACAAAATTCTGTGTGTAACAGGCACAACTGTTCCTAATCTTCCTGTTTTATTTAGCCAGCTAGCCACTCACACATCCATCCATTCATCCTCCCATCCGTCCTACCGTCCCTCCCTCTCTCTCTCTCTCTCTCATACTTGCAATTCATTCTTTGCACTATTGACATTGATTGGCTTGATTATTATTTTGTAACATGTTCCTTCCTTTTTGTTTTGTAAAATAAGTAAGTCTATACACTGGCTAACTTCGTAGAAGTGGTTTATTTTTTTTTGTCTTTTTATTTTATCAGTTGAAATGGGATGTTGTTTTGTTTAAACTATGTGAAAACTTAAATAAATGTTAAGATGAAACAGCATATCCTGATTTTCACTGTGAAATTGAAAGTTATATGTGCTGTACATTCTGATAAATCAGAGGCCTTGAATTCAGAAGAGGAAAAGGTGATGCTTTGAATGGCATAAAGAACAGTATAAATTAGAAGTAATGGGACTGCATACAGTAAAGAGGTTATTTAATTTGATCTCCAGATTAAAAGACAGACTGCAAAGGAAATGGAGCAGGCCTAGAGCTTGAGCCATGTAACAGGTTTGTGGAACAGTACTGACATAATATGGAAGATGTTCCAACATATGAACAAAACCATCCTGAAACAAAGTAATTGAGGACTGAAGCTTCTGCTCAGTGGTCTCTTCTGTTCTTTGACCACTAAAGCCAGGAGCACCTGAAAGGGCGATGTCTTCCTGTGATCAGAACATCTGTTTGCGATGCAAATATAAGGATATGGTTTAAAGTACTTATGGATTTCTCTGCTATGATCCCCTGTGTTCTTTCAAAGTAGAGTAAGCCATGTATCATTTCATACATCTTTCCACTTCTCTCACAGTCACTGAGACCCCTTCAGTCTGCTGTCTTTATCAAAAGCATTCCCTATATGAGACTGAAGAGCTGGGCACTCTTGACCAAAGAAAATCGGATACCCACCGCAAGTGGTGTTCAGATTATTGCTTTGAGATCAGCACATTCTCTGTAGGAAGCCTCAGTACAACTGACAGTAAATCAACCATTTTACAGTATTAGAAAATGGAGGTACACAGGGAATGATGCCTCATGTTCATTATTCAAGATTAAATCAGGTCAGCCAGAAGAAAAAAGAAAAGTTTAAAAAGATTCAGGGGCTGTTAGTAATAGCAGTTTATTTACTATAATTCAGATATTCAGTGACATTTGGAAATGATCCTATAAAATTGGGAGGGTAGGATTATATTAAACATGATAGTTTGCTAATATACAAAATGTTTATAAATGAAAATTAAAGACAAAAATGAGAGTTTGAAACCAGAGAGCTCAGAGTTCCTTGGCAATAGTGCAGTTCTTAGAGACAAGCCAAAATAACACCTCACAGGAGATGGAGAAGTCAGAGTGCCACTGCAATGTGTACCCAAACAAATGTGTGCCCTAGAGTGAGATAGCACCATTTGCAGAGAAAAAACACCACAATTTTCTCTCACTGCTCTTTGTTGCCATGATTGCCCTCATCATCTAGTCCAGATATGTTGTAAATTTTTAAGACAAAAGGTGCTGAAAGTCAGCTGAAGTCAAACGAAAGATGGAGGAGCAGCCCACTATTTCGGCTTAGGTGCAGTCTAGGTCACAGCAGATGTGTCTGAACCATGAAGCACATCAGTCACAGAAAAAGCTCCTGTTGTTTTGGTCACAGTATCAGAAGATTAACAGCAACTGCTGTATACAAAGAAGTAACTGGAATAGTATTTCATACACCAGCTGTCTTTCTCAGCCCTGAATAACAGGACAGCGAAGCCTGATGGAAAGGTGTGACTATACTAGTGCCTGTAGTAGCACTGGGGTGCTGCAGCAAGGGGCAGACACATGCTGGGGTTAAGGGGGTCTGGGCAGACTTGTCCTTCCCTGGTCAGAGGCCTTCTGCAGTCTCCCATTTGTTACTGCCTCACAGGCTGTAGATAAACTGGGAGCAGTCAGCTCAGCCTAAAGAGCTTCTGAAGGAAAAGGATGAATACAGGGTGAATACAGCTGAAAGTAATTTCCTAAATTGAGAGCCTCTTTTGTAAAGGTTTCCCTGATGCAGGACTGAAAAGAAAAGCTCAACTCCCCCGTGGAAGCAAAGAAATTTGTTAGGGCATGGTCAGTTCAGCAATTGTACAAATACAGAGAGTACTCAGATTAAAAGGGAATGAAATGGGAAAACTTCATGTCAGTGCACCAATGCAGGCAGAATTGTAGCAGAGTCTTGAGTTCAGGTCTAGAGAAAGATTAAGGGAGTTTTCAGCTGAGATTAAGGGAGTTTGACCGCTATGGCACCCCCTGTCTCCATCTCCTTTTGATCAAAATCTTGCTTCTCAATGTATCAGTTAGCAGGCTTTTTTTTTTCCCCCAAGCTGTTACAGGTACCCTTTGCCCTGGCAGTCAGGAAGTGACAGTTGGTGTGAGAGGAACACCCAGGGGAGTGCGGCTGGCAAAATAAAATACGCTGAAGTTACAATCTCAACAGAGAAAAATGTGTGCTAATTCATCATGACCTGTGACAAATGAGGAACTATGCAAAAAAATGTGACTTGGGGAGTCCCAGTCTACAAAGACTGACCCCGGGAAAAAATAGTGTAAAAATCCGTATGAATGTTATGAAAGATTGGAAGGCTTGTGAACAAATAGAATTGGATTTGGAACTGAACCACATTGTCAAAATCAGCTTTCAAATTGTACAGGACCAACAGACACAGCATGATGAATGTGAGTTGACTATGACATTTCTGCTGGGTAAGTTGGGGTTTGTGGTGTGGGTCCTACCTGGAGAAATGAACAATGAACTGGGTTAACAGGAGCGAAAGGATGGTTGCTGTCTAGTGATCACTGACAGGTTTTTGCCTGGACCACTGACCCACTGCATTGAGCAGCCTCGATGAATCACGAGTCTCACTGATTTTCAGGCCTGTGAACCCCATGCAGAATTTTGCCTCTTGTTAACACACTGTAAACCAGTTAGATCTCAAAATTGGGTTTAAGAGTTGACTACCTCCTCTGATTCCATGTTTAGCGGAGAAAAGGACAAGAGAGAAATTAATTTTTCAGTTGTGTTGACTAATCTTTTTCACCTAAGTAGTCCTTACTTGTATGCGCAGTCATGCACATATTCAGTTTAAATTTACATCCATAAAGCTCTTTAAATACCTCCAGCAGAAAATCCTGTAAAAGGATTTAACATTTAACTACTGTCTATTAAAAAACAAAGCATATGTGTGTGTTGTATAGGCATGCATAGACTTATACAATTATGCATTGTATGATGGGAAGAACAAGTTGACAAAAAAGTTCGATCTTTTTATTTTCTGGCCGCTATTTCAAAAGACAGCCACCCCCCACTGTCCCGAGATATGCCACTGGGGCTCAGTCCAAATCTGGGCAGCCAAGCCCACTACTCCCATCTGGTCAACCCTCATCCAACTGCCTTATTCTGGGAGTACCAAAATTCCCAGAAGCTCTCATAAATTTGTATGAAAGATGTCTGCAGACACCTACTGTTCCTGCGTGTGCCTCAAACTACCACAATTCTATACAGCCTAGTCCAGCTTGGGTTTCCAAGCCAGGCATTCTCCTACTCTCCCCCTCTCGAGGATTCCAACCTGCTGCTGTGCTCAGAATGAGTATTTATTTATTCTATAAACCTGTGCACTGGTCAGAACATTGCACTGCTGGGAAGCAAATGGGTTTGGGGTCCCTTTCTCCTCCTTGTTTGAGACTACCCAGAGGGTAAGTACAGAGGTAGAGACAATTCAAGACTGAAAAGAACTGAAGGCTTTGAGCACTTAGGATACTGACTGGGTTTGTTCATCCTTGACTGCAGTTTCCGAAATTCTATTGAGTATATTATGGAAATAGTCCTTGGAGCATGCACTAGACACCAGACCTACTCTCTCTCTCCATACAAATTGCTTTTTCTGCTGAGCTCACTGAATCTAGAAGGCCTGTTGTCCAGTGAAAGTACTTAATAGGATAAGTAATAACACCATTTGAGGATAGTGCCTTATCTGTTTGCTGAGGTTCTATGGAAGTGTTTAAATACATCCTTGTGCTGTATTGGCTAAGAAGCAAATTGTTATAAAAACTCTCCTTCCTGAAATAAAATGATCCTTCTATATTGAAGCCTGGCAAGAATACAACTATATGCCTTTGAAGAATAGGGACAGTTTTCCTTCCTATCTACAAAAAAACACATGAAAAAAATCTCTCCTGAAGTAGTTTCTAATCTAATTTTTAGGTTTAAGAAAATTATGTATTACATACTAATTTTCAGCCTACGTTAATTTAATGATTGCTATGCATTGTGAGCCCATTTTTATAGACGTTACAGCCAATGGTCATTGCTCTCAATGTGAGAGCTGCTGGACAATTGTAGCTCAAAGTGGGAAAATTTTAGAACACATTTCTCCGATTTGTTTTCTGCTGGGGTTACTATACTGGCATAGGAGTTCTGCCTCCCTCTTGTGGTTACATCTTTTACTTTTGACTTGGAAAAGAAACATTTACAGTGCAGCCACAATCAGAGTTCATGCTGGTTACCTTCCTGATAGTTAACTTCCTGATGTCTCCTCCTCAAGTTTAATAAAAAAGCCCCATTATGTCAGGAATCTCCCATCAAAAAAAAAATGTCTACCTAAGGACGAAATTCTTTTTCACATTCATATGGGAACAACTGAACATGTTTGATAAAATCTGCAGTAATTCATGCTGGTTACATTTTGTAATTGAGTCTGAATGTTAGCATTTAAGTCATCCAAATGTATGAGCTCCACCTAGGAGTTACTAAGATATACCCCAGGGGATTTGATATTTTCAAGTAGAGCAAAATCTCATGGCCTATACATTTTAGGATATCACTTTGTTCTTTCCTATTGCTTTCCATTTGAATATCACATGATCCTTTTCAAACATTAGGAAATCAAGCTATCTGAAGAGTTAAATCAAATAAAGCACTGTTCCTCTCATGATAAGAAAACCAAGATATCATTAAATCAATGCCTTGGAATGATAGAGCCCCAACTCAACGCAGATCTCATGTCCCTCCACTGTTTCCCTAAACCAGAACATCATCTTCCTTCAGGGTCCTTAGCAGACTTACAGCATTTGTAGGGTGATTTAACTTGAATGCACCTACTCTGTGCCCTTCTTCATTCCTTTGCAATTTACACTGATATCAATATAGCCCATTTACTGACACAACATTCAGAAAGAAATATGAATTGTGTCTTGAAAGCCATTACTGGAAACTAGGCAGGAGGGACATGGAAATTTGCAGCAGAATTCTACGGTAATGGAGAGAGA